TATTTTGATTTTATTTAAAAATGATTGGAAGCTCATCACAAACATTAGCTGCTAATTCCTCCCAAATACGATGAAAGGAATTACAAAAATCAATAGGTATTAGTTCTGGAGAATGTGTGAATTATTTAAGATGTTGTAAGTGTCTTTATATTTATGTTTACTTTACAATATAATGATTTAGTTATAATATTCAATGTAATAAACTTAATTCTATTATTTGCCTTTTCAGAATGATTCAATTTTTTGACTTCATTTAAACTATGTTTTTGCCTATATTTCTTATTGTATTTGAAAGATATCCTTTCATGGAGAGCATTTATATATGTTCCATAATATAAAAGTTTTTAAGTTAATGGCTTAGGCAAAGTGAGGATGATTCTTAAGGATTTTTTTTTTTTGCACTCTTGCTATCATTTTTAAGGGTGAGGAAGGAGAGACGGGCCTTTTTTCACAGGTCTTGGGTCCCGGCTTTGAGCCTGTTGTGTCACATGTGGAGGTAGACTGCACACTCCTATGTGCGTGACCGTAAACCGCATACACGTGCGTGGGCACGTTTCTATGTGTCTAGGAAACCTTGAGGTGTGTATATAATGCCGGTTGCAATTTATTCATTGCAATATTGAACTGATAATAGGTTAGAGTTAAATTGTACAGTAGGGAATACTCTTAATTCAAATGCCAGTCATGATATTAATACTTTTATAAGATATATAAATAGATGTAGCTGGCGGCCTGCCTCTCATACTGGCATTTACTTTTATTTCATTGTTAATACTTCATGAAAGAATGTGTTGTATGATGAACGAAATCCCATCGCGTACTGGCGGTACTCATATGTATGTATTGGCCTAGTTTTACGCGAGGCTATGAAATTCACTCATGTTGAAGCCACTAGAGCCTAGATATTCTAGCATTTTATACCTATATATTATAGTCTTAAACAGAAAATAATAGTCATGCTCAGAAAACAGTAAGATGTAGATCAGACTTAAAATCATGTATTATAATGAGACTTGGTTGATGTAGAGCATTTTTTGTTTGTCTTGTGAAGGAATGGATTTATTTATTCATTCATTCATTCATTCATTTGATAACATTTTCAAATAATAATAATATATTGAAGTTAATGATATAATAAAATAAACCCTTTGTAGTATATATAATAAACCTTGTTTTTATTTTTATTAATTATATATTAACTGTTAAATTTTGTTAATTATGTGAAAGGTTCCAGTTTCATTGAAATCTTTTTGTTACTATTTGTTTACAGGTAGAGGATCATGATGATGTTTTTTGTTGTTTTTTTTTTTATTAGGCCTACAATCACGTGCCAATTATTCCTTAAGCTTGTATATCACGTGCCAGCTTGACCACATACACGTGTGACCATACCGCATACACGTGTGACCATACCGCATACACGTGTATGGCCATGCATTTAATATGGAAAACCATCAGGTGGTTTTTTTTTCCTTTCAGTTCCAATTATTCTGATAATAAAATAAATTGTTCAGTAGGGAATTACCAATACAAGAACAATTAAGATCTAATATTAATAACTATGCCATTTCTGATATTACTGTTTTGTATAAATATAAATTAATTTACCTATAATACATGTAACATATACACATATACATACATACATATGCACATACATACACACACACATACATACACACATATATACACACATACATTTACACATGCACATATACATACATACATACATACATAAATTAAATTAAAGAAACAAAATTATAAGAAAAGTTTTAACACCAGAACACCCTTCTGAAAGCAGGTCTTCCTCAATGGTCAACATTGTAAGAAGAATTCTGTGGTCATCTTTTCTTTTGCGTTATTTTTCTTATTTACTATTTTATTTTCCTTTCAAAAGCTACTGTACATATATTTTCAATTGTTTCTGGTCATGCATTCGTGTAATGATGGAAGAAAAACGTGTGTGCCGTACGTCACACCGACACGTGTTTACACTCTTGTGTGCATGACTAATAGGTAGAAGTGGGCCCGTACACGTGCACGCTCCTACGATCAATACCTATGCTCGTGTCAGGGAAGATGCCTACGTATAATATAATATCCCTTGAGATACCTTACAAAATCTTCAATATACTTACCGCAATATAATACAGGTAATAAAAATATAGTTACAATTTTTAATATTATATGATCAAGCTGAACAGATAAGAAAAAAAGAATTGAGGCCTACTGTAATACTTTATTAGTAATTTAGCTGTCAAATTTTATGTAACTTATTTAAAGTATACTGTTAATATATTTTAATATTAATTTGATATCTTAAATCTGTATTTGCATACAAATTGCTATTATACCCTATGCATGGTTACCTGTAGCTGTTGATGAATTTCCATAGAGCTAGAGGAGTTATAAGACATAGTTGCTGTGGTCCCAGTAGAAATAAATTGCTAAATATTAATATAAATTCATTAATTAATATTAATTTAATTTTAAAACTAGTATTACTTTTCAATAAATTGTAAAAAAGTTAATAGATCATAAATAATTGGAGCAATAGCTACTAAAAAGAAATGTTGTAAAACAACATTCGCCCCAAAATTTATTTATTTTCATAATTATCAGTAATTGTCATGAATTCCTACTTGACGTATTTCCGAGCGGTATAGTATAGTGGTTTACACTTGTTTGTTTGGTCAATTAAATGATAATTCTAAAATGTTCTATGTATATGTTAAAGTAAGGCAAGGAATGGTAATTTATTTAATACAGTAATACAAATACTTAACAATTGCATAATTAAAACTAATGAGTTTATAGTGTTAATTATAAGAATATGAACCCAAGACCCGGATATTAAAAGTGAATTATCTCATCACCAATCTACCACTCCATTCGTTGTACTTAGGAAAAAAATTAATCTTCTTGAGTCTTTAATTTCTGTCAGAAGTGATATACATATTCACTAAAGGAGGTATTCTGATTATTTTAAAAGTAGTTGTATTGCCATGTTAGTGTAAACAGTGACAGGTGAAAAGAGATGTAGCACTCAGACAGAAAATTTTGTTGTTATTTATTGTGCGAGCTTTCGTTGGCTGTCGATGCCGGCTTCATAAATGACAGGAGATACTCTAAGACGTGCTCGCAAGAACTGCTAGCAACACTTTGTGTAAACAAGTGCGACCGTTCACCGGTCTGTGCGTTCCTCCACACTTAAATACGGTACAGGTGCAAGTTATTATATTGGATTTTTTGGAAGAGCTCATAAGATAGAAATTTTTAAATAATTGAAATGTTTATTTGTACAAAGAAATTATTATTTAGAATGTTCATTTGTACAAAATTAAAATATCTTAAAATTGAAAAAAATATATTTTCCTAAAATTGGAAAAAAAATTACTAAGATGCGATTCAAACTCACAACCTTAAGTTCTTTAGAAAACATCCTTAACCAACTGCGCCATCCATGCCACATGCCCTAATAGTGGTAATTGCAGTAATAAACAGTCCTTGCTGGAACCCCTGTTTTGTTTTATAGGTGTATCGGGAACGCTGGGGTCCAACTTAAAAAAGGGTGATGAACGTTGGAAATCACCTCTAGTTTATGTGTACAATATTTCCTGAACGTCCATTCAAAACTGGTGACGCTGGACGCTTTTAAAGTTTTGGTAACAAGAACAAGAATAGCAGTGAGGCTTTGGGGTCAGCACCTTGCGCAGACCCAAAAATAACATAAAAAGTTTAATATCGAAAACCAAGAAATCCCAAGTCTTCCGCAGCTGACGGGAATATCCCGTAATTTAGATGTCTTTTAGAAAGTTCATTTAACCAGATCTCCTTGAAGTGACTCCTTTGATACTTCTTAATTATCAAGTAACGATAATTCACTTCAACCATATGATATAAGAACAACACATGTATGTAGTTTATTTGTAATGTTGTTTATTAACGTTCTTGCATTCCAATTCCAATTCCATGTTTTTTAGTTCGGATCCTATCAGTGTTTTTTATCATCACTAATAAATCCACACTCTGTGAGTGAACGATAGCTTTCTTAATGGATATCCATTTGTAAGAAAAGAAAAAAACAAAATTGTGTTTAACAGTGTATATTTGATTGATGGAAATTAGTTGAGTATAGCA